CCTACCATGTAAGCACCTGAAATGTCTTATGCCAATAAATCTTGAGATAACTCCATGAGGACAGATAATATTATCCCTATTTTATAGGGGAGGAAATGAAACCTTAGAAAAGGCATGTAGGCCAGCAGGTGACATCGTGGCTAAGACACTGGACTCCCACCTAGCTGACTGTAGTTTGAGTCCAGACCCATCGCCTTGAAACTCACACTCGGTGCGTGTGTGTATGTGTGCCCAAAATCCCAGGAGGAGGATGGAGTAAATTGGGACATGGCCATCCCCCCGGGAGGTGATTTCTCATTTTCTTTCTCACTCTCTCTCTCTTGCAAATGCATACATCCTATGGCAAAAACCTTAAACAAAACAAAAGAAAACAAGACTTGTAACTTGCCCCAAATCTCCATTCTAGTGAATGGAATAGAGTGAATAGAGCCGGAATTTGAACACTATTCCGGATCCCAGAATCCACGCCCTTGTTTGCTATTAAATTCAGATACTAAAGTTTCTCCTGTAACCCTCTCCCTCCAGCTCCAGCTCCCCATGCCAGGGCCACCTTCTCTTCTCACAGGGGCTGTTGCAGGGGACTCTGACCAGGGCACCTCTTGTCTCTGCTTTTGTCCATACTTGACTCACTCCCTACCCCATCAGCTTCTGAAACCCAGCTCTCTCCATATTCTGCCATGGACACTTGTCCACTTCTGGCCCCAGACTGGTTTCTACCTTCTTTCACTGGAATCCCTGCTTTCCGGTCCGCTCTGCCGTCCTCTCCTGCCACTGTGTCCTCTAACTGCTAGCTCTATCACCCCCTCGCCGAGCGTGCTGCTCCTGAGCCTGCCGTTCCTCAGCTCTTCCCTCCTCTCCTCTCCCTCCAGCGACTTCTCCAAGCCTCCTTGATTACCTCATTTGTAATTAAGAGCTTAATATTTTATTCTGTCCCAGAGCACTGCTGATAGCTCTCTTATTAGCAACTGACCTACTTTTTAGGCCTCTGAATTAGTAGTGGTTACACTTGTTTTTCACATCTATACCAAACGATAAACGTGAGGAAGCGACCACAGTTTATGCCGTGGTTTTATCCCTTTCCCACCGTCCTTGGTCCCACCACAGGACCTGCCCAGCCTGGGGCCTGGCCCAGAGCGGGCCAGTAACACACCTGCACCAGCAGCCTCGTGTCCAGTTAAAGCTGCTTTCCTCTTTTCTCCAGTCTTAACCGTTTTTGAAATTGCATAACCAGCGGAGAAAACCGGTTAGATCATGCTTAGATTGCTAATATACACTACTTATGGTATTATATCTCTGTGAGGCTTTCTATTTTCCCCCAGTATATTGAAGCTAAAGTTGTTTATTTTTTCCCAGTGCTTTCCTTTCATGAAATGACAGAATGTTGATAGTGTGTTTTCTCTTAATGGTTTCCGCTTGAAAGTTGTACGCAAAGCACTTAGGAATAAAATATTCAGGTATGTTTTGAACTTACAGTAAGGCCTGCCTAATGTGGAGCTGTTTACATTTGTCACATAAAAAAAAGATAAGTAAGAGATGAGGGAGACAAAGTAGCTCATTAAGTAAGAGCAGAGACTCAAGCTAAGGCTTTTTTAAAAATTGTATTTATTATTATTTTCCAATTTGACCAGAGACAGAGAGAAAGACAGAGAGAGAAAGGGAACGTGAGATAGTAAGCCATCAGGTCCAGGATTTGAACCATGGTCGACTGTGGGAGTTTAGCACCCCAACCACCATGCCCCTGCTTGGCTTCAAAGAGCTAAGACTTCTTTTTAATCTTTTTTTTTTTTTTTTTGCTATAGGGCGCGTGCGCTCGCCATAGAGACAGAGAGATAGAAAGTGAGAAATCACCCCCCAGAGGGGATGGGATGGCCACGCCGCAATCCCTTCTCCTCCATTCTTCTCTCGGGATCTTGGGCACGCACGTACATGCGCCCGGCGTGAGTTTAAGCCATCAGATCTGAAACTCGAACCGCAGTCGACTATGTGGAAGTCCAGTGACATAGCATTTACGCTAACTGCTGGTCCCTAAGAGCTAAGACTTCTTAAACTTACTATTTTTTATTTTTTAGTTTCTTCATCTGTGAAATGGATAGTAACTTATTCATAATGTTGTTATAAAGAGTAAATGAGTTGGGAACCAGCAGTTAGCATAATGGCTATGTCGCTGGACTCCCACGTAGTCGACCGCGGTTCACATCCTGGACCCGGTGGCTTAAAACTCACTCTGGGCACGTGTGCGTGCGTGCCCAAGATCCCAAGAGGAGAATGGAGGAAAAGGGATTGCGGCGTGATCATCCCCCCTGGGGGGTGATTTCTCGCTTTCTGTCTCTCTGTCTGTCTCTGTCTGTCTGGCGAGCACACACGCCCTATAGTGAAAACCTCTCCAAAAAAAAAAAAAAAGAGTAAATGAGTTAACCCATTTAAAATGGGAATAGTGGGCTGGCCACATGGCCTACTGGTTAAGGAATACCAGATCCCACATGGCTGATGGGTGCCATGCAAATACTGGCCAGTATCTCCAAAAACATGCCAGGAGCATGTGTGTGCAAGCTCCTGACAGGATGGAGGAGAAGGGATTGCAACATGACTACGCCCCATGGGAGGGCGCGTTCTCTGTCTGTCTTTCTCTTTCTGGTGTATGCACGCATCCTCTGGCAAATAAAAAATAAAATGTGGCACATGAGGCCTGGTGCAGTCTGTAAATGTTCATATCTATGAATGAGTGAGGCACGATAGATTCCAAGGAGGCGAGGTGGGAGGTAAGGAAAATCCCAATGGACAGGCTAACAGCAAGTAGCAGGTAGTGGCTAGGCTCTAGGTCTTCACTGGAACTTAATATGGAAGAGACTGTTCAAGAAATGCTTTCATGTGGGCAATATCATCACCAGTAGTAACTTCTTCAGATAGAAAAATCAAAGTCTGTAGTGTTGGGAGGTGGCATGGTGGTTAAGATGCTGGACTCCCACATGGTCGACTGCGGTTCAAGTCCCAGACCTGACAACTTGCTTTCTCACTTTTCCCTCTTTCTCTTTCTTTCTCTGTCTCACTCTGGTCAAATTAAAAAGTAACAAATAAATACTATGAAATAATTCTTAAAAATAAAAGAAAGTCTATACTACTAAGTGCTTAAAGAAATTGTGTGAATTCTTTCATACCATAGAGGAAAATGAAGATGGGATACCTACCTGTTTTTCCCTGATTACATCATTTAAGGAGAAGGGGAGCCTGGGCACTGAGGAAAGAGAGTGCTGTAACTACAAGAGAGAAATTTGTCATTATGTTGAATTATTGAACCCGTCGGTTTCTTCTCTGGGTTTTCAGAATGACATTCCAAACAAATTTGAAATGAAACTTCGCCGTGCAACTGTTCTTGAGGACTCTTACCGGAGAATTATGGGAGTCAAGAGAGCAGACTTTCTCAAGGCTCGGCTGTGGATTGAGTTCGACGGTGAAAAGGGGTTAGATTATGGAGGAGTCGCCAGAGAATGGTTCTTCCTGATCTCGAAGGAAATGTTTAACCCTTATTATGGGTTGTTCGAATATTCTGCTACGTAAGTGCCTTTACAACGACAGTATATAAAGGGAAAAAAAAATCCCTATTCTCAAAGAAACAGTTGAATGATACAAGGAATATGCATGTTGTGATATAGATCAGAAAAGAGAGATTCTAACTGATGTTTCAGAACTTACTTTTTAATTGTGATAAAATATACATAACATCAAATTTACCGTGGTAACCATTTTAGATGTACAGTTCAGTGACATTAAGGGTATTCACGTTGTCGTACAACCAACACTATGTCCATAACGCTTCCAACTGTACCCATTAAACACTCACCCCCTCCTCCCTGGCAGCCACGCTTCCACTTTCTGTCTCTGTGACTTCAAGCACTCATGTATCTCAGAAATGGAGTCATATGGTATTGTCCTCTTTTATGACTGGTATATTTCTCCTATCATGATGTCCTCAGGGTTCATCCATGTAGTAGCGTGTGTCAGAACTGTCTTCCTCTTAAAGGGTGAATAATATTCCACTCTTTGTGTAGACTATTTTTTTTAATCCATTTACCCATCAGTGGACATTTGGACTACTTCCACCTTTTGACAAAAATTACTTATTTTTCCTCAGGTTTTTGCCCTAGGGCACATGTGCTCACTGCAGAGAGACAGAGAGAGATACAGCAGAAAATCACCCCTTCCTCCCCCCCCCCCCCCTGGGAGAATGGCTATACCTCAGTCCCTTCTCCCCCATTGTTTTGGGGTTTTAGACACCCATGCACACATGCCAGGCATGATTTTCAGGCCACCAGGTTTGGACTTGAATCGTGATCAGCCCTGGGAGTCCAGTGACTTAATCACCACGCCACCTGCTGGTCTCCCAAAATTATTTACCGTTTTTAAAACCACTAAATATAGTGGTCAATCATGCTCATAATGGAGGAAAACAACTCTAAGGAGAAGAAAATAACACATAGATGTCGCATTAAAATTTTCCTGTGGAATATCATGAGGAGCATTTGAATGTGATTGTCTCTACAGGGATAATTATACCCTACAGATCAATCCGAACTCAGGATTGTGTAATGAAGATCACCTCTCTTACTTCAAGTTCATTGGTCGAGTAGCTGGAATGGCAGTTTACCATGGCAAACTATTGGATGGTCGGTATTAAGTATAAAACTTTTTAAAATGTGGGGTTTTTTCCTTTCACTTGGTAATCATTTTGAATTTATTTGATTTTTTGCAAGGTTTTTTCATCCGCCCGTTTTATAAGATGATGCTACACAAACCAATAACGCTTCATGATATGGAATCAGTGGTATGTCTTTTTCACTAATAATATAGAGAAAGTATAATTTAATAGGCAACTGAACATTTTGAATAATTCAAGGTCGTTTTTTGTTTGTTTTAATTTTAAGGGCACATATATTCACCAAACAGAGAGGGAAAGTGAGAAAGCACCCCAGGGAGATGGCCACAACACAATCTCTTCTCCATTTTCCCCTTGGGATTTTGGGTGCATACATGTTTTTCAAGCTGCCACGTCCAGGACTCGAACTGTGCAGTTGACCATATGGAATCTAGCTGCCTTAACCACCACACCACCAGTTGGCCCAGAAGTGTTTTTTTGTTTCTTTCAAGAATTATTTAATTGTATTTATTATTATTATCATTACTATTATTATTATTATTTTCATTTGACAGAGAAAGTTAGAAAGTGAGAAAGCAAGCCACCAGGCATTGGGCTCAAACTGTGGTCGGTCATGTGGGAGCCAAGTGCCTCAACCACCACGCGACCTGCTGGCCCCCAGAATTTATTTTTATGATACAGAAATTAGTAATGTTTATAATGATTCAAAATACTAATGAACATTTCCCCAACATTTTACTATGAAAAGTTTCTAACACGGGACCAGCAATTAGCGTAATGGCTATGTCGCTGGCCTCCCATGTAGTCGACCACAGTTCACGTCCCGGACCCGGTGGCTTAAAACTCATGCCAGGCACATGTGCGTGCATGCCCAAGATCCCAAGAGGAGAATGGAGGAGAATGGGTTGCAGTGTGACCATACCCCCGGGGGGTGATTTCTTGCTTTCTGTCTCACTGTCTCTGTCTGTCTGGCGAGCACATGCGCCCTATAGCAAAAAAAAAAAAAAAAAAAACCTTTCTAAAAGAAAAAAAATGTTTCTAACATGTAATAAAGATGAAAGAATTTTACTATGAACACTTGTATATCCGCCACCCACAGTTGGCCTTTTTTTTAAATATATATTTGCTTTATCATATACTGTCTATTGTTCGTCCTTCTCCATCAATCCACCCTAGTTGTCTCATTGCATGTCAAAGTAAGTTGCAGATATCAGTAAACTTCCCCCCTAAATACTTCAGCATGCTATATGCAATAATCATTTGTCTCTTGCATCAGTATTTAAAGTGGGTTTTTTTTAAATAATGAATGGTATACCTTCTTAAAATGTCAGTCCAAAGGCAAGGCCTTAAATTTAAACTGCTGCGAAGAAACAGAAACCAAGAATGCAATTCCTAGCTCTAGCCTTACTGTGCTGCCGAGTACTCTCACACAGCGTGGCTCATGCACGAATCCCAAGACCTCCTCCTTCTCACCAGGTACTTCTGTTTTAGGTTTTGCCATAGGGCGCATGTGCTTGCTGGAGAAAGACAGGGAGAGGGAGAGTGAGAAATTCCCCATCCTGGGGTAATGGCCACACCGCAGTCTCTTCTCCATTCTCCTCTCGGAATCTTGGGCATACATACTTGTGCCTGGCGTGATTTTTAAGCTCCTGGGTTCAGGACTTGAACTGTTGTGATTTTTAAGCCCCTGGGTTCAGGACTTGAACTGTGTTGGCCATGTGGGAATCCAGTGCCTTACCCACCACACCACCTGCTGGCCCCCAGGTACTCTTTTTATTCCTTTCTTGTTATACTTTTTCCATGCAAACAGAATAAGTCCTTGTAAGTCATAAAATTGTGCAGTTATTTGAGTTGGTTAATTGAGCATCTTGATTTAATTTGAGATTTGTCTTTAATTTGGACCAAGTATAAACAGTGACTTCCTGGTAGCTACTTGGGCATTTCACACAAAGCCTCAGGCCATAAGAGAAAGTGCTTAGGTGCTCCTGGTTATCCAGGCAAGTTAGGATTTATCTGAAAATGACTTTATTTAACCTTTAATTAGATGATAAAAAAAGTCTTTACTTCCACTGCTTCCGCATAGAGATAGATTTTTAAACTTTTCAGCAAGTTGTTTTTGATTGATAGAGTTTTTTTTTTTTACTCTTGCACTTACCTATCACCCATCTTTTTGCAAAATGTGTATATGTGTGTGCAAAAACGTCTCCAACTGACCCTCTTGTCCAATTGTTCAGACCTTTGGCATATTGGCTTTTTTTTTTTTGCAAGTTCAGGGTTCAGGTGTATCCTTATCTATACAAATTTTAAATATGCCATTTTTTTCCACCTAGGATAGCGAATATTACAATTCACTAAGATGGATTCTTGAAAATGATCCGACAGAATTGGACCTCAGATTCATCATAGATGAAGAGCTTTTTGGACAGGTTTGTGAATTTTGACCAATTTCAATGGTACCTCAATTGCAAAACGAATGTTCTAACTTAAGTTCAGATGTTAAAGTGCATACTCAGGCATGTCTGTGCTCTATTTTTATCATTTTTTTCCCAGTAACAAAAGCTCTCTCTCAGCAAGAATTTGTGCTTTTTTTGACATTTGACTCATTCCATATTTATTTTAGTAAAACTAATATTTTAAGGGTTTTTTTTTTTAGCTTTTAGTTTTTGAATAGATTTAATTAAAAAACCCCAGGCTTCTGGTATAATATACTGTGTATACTTTTTTATTTTTCTCACTAAAACAACATATTGAGGTGTCACATTTAATTTTAGACACATCAACATGAGTTGAAAAATGGTGGATCAGAAATAGTTGTCACCAATAAGAACAAAAAGGAATATATTTAGTAAGTATTTAATTAGTAAGTATTTTCCTGAAAATTATTTTGTATTTTCTTTCAGAAACACTCTTTACCATGGTCTTCCACAGGGTGAATCTCAATGTTCTTTTATGTAACAATGCAGTGTTACTACTTGTGTTCAACTTTCCCCTTGGGTCTTTATTTTTTGTTCCCCAACTGAAATATAACTTAAATGTTTTTCTTGGTTCATGTGAGAAGAATGAAACATTTTGTTTCTTTTTAGTCTTGTAATCCAATGGCGATTTGTAAACCGAATCCAGAAGCAAATGGCTGCTTTTAAAGAGGTACTTATTTTCTTTTGTTGGCTCTTCTGTAATTCCAAAGTACAAATCGTCAGTTTCAAATCTTGAGTCTCATCACATCTGAGAAAAATAAGCATGGGGATTGCTTTGTAAAACCAATCTGAATTATATTTTTATATTAACAAAAGATTCCATGAGTAGATGTTCATTGTTAAAAATCAGTCATTCCAGAAGTCTAGGGCAAGCCAGTGGTGTGGTTGGGATGGCTGGATCCTGCATTGCTGACTGTGGGTTCACGTCCTAGACCAGGCGGCTTGAGATGCACACCAGGTGCCTGTGTGTGATGGCCAAAATCCTCCGAGGAGAATGGAGGAGAAGGGACTGTGGCGTCGCCATCCCCATGCTTTCTCACTTTCCCTCTCTCTTTGGCACCTTAAAAGTAAAAAGTAAAAATGTTAAAAAAAAAAAAATCCAGACAATAGATATTGACAGCCTCCACATCTTTTTCTCAGCCCCACTGCCATCACCTTCAGTACCCTTAGAAGAACAGAGGAATAAAGTGCTTGGAGACAGTGTAACGTACCGTTTGTGTCTTTTTCCTAAATAGGACCCCATCTTACATGTTATTTTGTGACTTCTGTCTTCTTTCCTTATCACATACTTATTGGGGACTTTCACATATCAAGACATGTACCTTTCTTTATGACTGCTTCTTATTCATAATATAAATCCATAAGTTATTTAACTTCCCCAACTGGTGGATGTATAAGTAAGTTATTGTCAGACTGCTCGTTCTTTTTTTTCTTTTTCTTTTTTTTTTTTTAAGTTTTTGCCAAAGGGCTTGTGGGCTCACCAGAAACAGAGAGAGAAGGAAAGTGAAAAATCACCCCCAGGGGGATGGCCATGCTGCAGTCTCTTCTCCTCCATTCACCTCTTGGGACAGTGGGGGAGGCCCATGCATGCGCGCACATACACACACACACACACACACACACACACACACACACCTGGCATGATTTTTAGGCTGCTGGGCCAGGACTCGAATTGTGGTGGGCCATGTGGGAATCCAGTGGTCCAACCACTACGCCGCTTGCTATCCCCAACTGTCCTTGACTTTTTCCAGAACAGTTTCAGGGAGGTCGTGGTTTACAGGTCTGTTGGTAGTATGTTAGTTAGATGGGAGATGAACGAGTAGATTCAGGAAGCGTGTAATGCTGTCGAGAACTTGGCTATGAAGGGAGAAGAGACATTTATTTGCTTTTTCATTTCGTTTTTAAGGTAGATATGGCTTGAACACATTTAAATGTATAAAAACTGAGCTCATGAAGGGAGAAAGCCAGCTCTGTGCCTTGTGGTTAAGGCATCTGGATACCACATGGCCGACTGCGTGGTTCAGGTCTCTGACTTAGCAGCTGGAGAAACACATGGGGCACACGTGCATCATGACCAAAACCCCAAAGGGAGGGAGAGGTGGAGGAGAAGGGATGGCTGCGTGAGCACACCCCACGCAGGGCGCTTTCTCCTCTCCCTCTCTCTCTGGTGAGTACACGTACCCTCTAACACATAAACGAACACGCACACATGTATGTATACGAAGAGGTCTAGTGAGACCACCTCCCCAAGGATGCACATGAGGCGTACGTGGAGGGCTGGCCTGGAAGAGGAGGTGGCCCTCTCCCCTTTGCAGGAAGCCATGATGGAGCTGGTGCTGGTTGGGAACTGGAGATACAGCAGATGGGAGGGGGTTTTGTTCTGCATAATTGCCTCTCTGGTTTTTTTTTTGTCAAGTAGAAATGATCTACTGTAATGAAAGGATTTTATGGAGGAAGAGGTGGCTTGAGAAGTTCTGGGAATTTTAAAATGACCACTTTGAGGACTAAATGAGCTAGAAAAATCTATGAACAAACACTTTGTATTGCTAATGTTGAGATCTTAGTTAGGAGTCTAAGAGAGTTTAGTGGTAGAAATATTGGCCAGCCAAAGCCCTAGTGGCTGAGAGAGCTGGGTCCCACATGGCCAACGGTGGTTCCAATCTCAGCCCTGGCAACTTGAAAAACAGGCTAGGGGGGCTGGCAGTGGAATGGTGGTTAAGGGCTCTGGACTCCCATATGGCTGACCTAGATTAGAATCCTGGGCTTGCTTTTTCTGTGTGTGTGTGTGTGTGTGTGTGTGTGTGTGTGTGTATGTCCCTCTCTGGCCAAATTTAAATAAATAAATAAAGTTAAATCATATAATTCTTTAAATAAATAAAGTTAAATAAAATAATTTTAAAAAAGAAAAGAGAAACAGGCTAGGTACATGTACATGTGTGCCCAGAATCCTAATAGGATGAAGAAATGGAGACTAAGGGGTTCAGGTGACCATACCCCTTTGGGGCTGTGTTCTTCCTCTTCCCCTCTGCATGTCTGGACTAGCACATGTGCGTTCTGGCAAAAAAGAAAGCAAAGAAAAGAAATGTATATGAACGTGGATTCCTCCAATAGCACCCAAAAGTTAGAAGTATAAGGATGTGGGGCCAGCAGGTGGCACAGTGCTTAAGGCATGGATTCCCACATAGCCAACTCCGTAGTTCAAGTCCCAGACCCGACACCTTGAGAATCACACCAAGTGCGTGTGTGTGTCCTCCACATCCCGAGAGGAGAAAGGATGAGAAGACCTGTGGAGTGGCCATCCCCTTCAGGGGGTGATTTCATACTTTCCCTTCCTGTCTCTGGCAAGCACACATATGCCCTATGACAAAACAAACCAAAAAAAGAATGTACGTAGAGGGCCAGCCGGGTAACATGGCGATGAAGAACTGCACGGAGGAAGCAGGATCCCACAAGCTGACCAGAATTTAAGTCCCAGGCCCAAAATATGCCACACACGTATGCGTGTGAGCAGTTCCTTAATGAGATGAGACTTGAAGGAAAAAGGATTGTAACATAACCAAGCCATGTTGGAGTTTGGGGGTGCTTCCTCTCTCACATGTATGCACGTATACCTTCTGGCATTTAAAAAAAAAAGAAAAGAAGGATGTGTATTGGGACCAGCAGGTGGCGTGGTGGTTAAAGGCACTGGACTCCCACATGGCTGACCATGGTTTGAGTCCCAGACCTGGTGGCTTGCTTTCTCACTTTCCCTCTCTCTCTCTCTCTTTGTCTCTCTCTGATCAAACTGGAAAAACAATCATAATAATAATTAATAAAGTTAAATAATATAATTGTCTTTTTTTTAAAAAGAATGTGCATTGACTCTGCTAACAAGGTTTTAAAATACATTTCTTTCTGCTAGGGATTTTTTGAACTCATACCACAAGATCTCATCAAAATTTTTGACGAAAATGAACTAGAGGTGAGAGATACTATTTTTATGTTCAAACAGTTTGGGGCTCGTTATCTTCCTTGTTTACACATTGATGTTTCTTGTTATGTAGCTTCTTATGTGTGGGTTGGGAGACGTGGATGTGAACGACTGGAAACAACACACAAAGTATAAAAATGGCTACAGTGTGAACCATCAGGTCATGCAGTGGTTTTGGAAGGTAATTTCAAGCCTTTATTTTCATAAATTACTTTTTTATTTATTTTTTTTTTTGGAGAGGTCTTTTTGCTATAGGGCGCGTGCGCTCACCAGACAGACAGAGACAGACAGAGAGATAGAGAGTGAGAAATCACCCCCCAGGGGGGATGGCCACACCGCAGTCCCTTCTCTTCCATTCTCCTCTTGGGATCTTGGGCACGCACACACATGTGCCCAGCGTGAGTTCAAGTCGCCGGGTCTGGGACTTGAACCACAGTTGACTACATGGGAGTTCAGCGACATAGCCATTATGCTAACTGCTGGTCCCACATAAATTACTTTTTGATAGATTCAGTCATGCTTAAGTCGGTGCTTCTGTGACTGTAATGATACATTACTTACAAGAGAGGAAAATTTCATTTTGTACTGTATACATAAATTTCTGCATATGGCTCCAACTTCAATACATAGGAACCTTCGAAAGATTCATAGGAGTGGGTATTATCAAAAAATGATGCATGTGTTTTGAAATTTTTTGCACCAAAATAAACTCATACTTTAATTTCATTTTTCCGTGAATTTTTTAAGGTCTCCTCCTATTTAAAGCAGGACCAGCAGATGGTATAATGGACTCCATGTAGTCTACTGCAGTTCGAGTCCCAGACCCAGTGGCTTAAAACTCACACAGGCACGTGTGCGTGCATGCCTGAAATCCCGAGAGGAGATTGGAGGAGAAGGGATTGCAGTGTAGCCATCCCCCTTAAGGATGATTTTTACTTTTTGTCTCATTGTCTCTCTGGGGGCCACGCATGCCCTATAGCAAAAAATCTCGTAAAGATAGGTAAAATACTTAGCGTGAAGTAAATGGTAATAATAGCTGAGGTGAGCACTTAGTGTTTCCTAAAGTAGGGGCTCTCAGCAGAACTTGAAATAACCCACAGTATATGCTTGGGACCCCTGCATGGCTCCTTTAAATTTTCTTATTTAAAAAAAAAAATGAAATTTTTTTAAAGAGATTTTTTGCTATAGGGCATGGGTGCTTACCAGAGAGACAGAAAGGAAGAAATCTGTCCCCAGGGGGAATGGTCATGCCACAGTCCCTTCTCCATTCTCCTCTAGGAATTTTGGGCATGCACACACACACACTGGGCATGAGTTTAAGCTGCTGAGACTGGTACTCAAACCCGTGGTCAGCTACTTGGGAGTCCAGCAATGTAGCCATTAGGCCATCTGCTGGTCCCTAAATACAATTTTTTTTTAATTTCTTACTTTTTTAACCCCCTATTTCTCACCCTCTGCCATTTCCCACCCTCCTCCCACACTATCTCAGGGGTCCACAGTTTTTCATTCATTTTTCCCCCCCACATTTTATTGATTCACAAAATTTCTGAAAATTTTGTTCTTTTGTTAGGCTTTAATCTCATTCTAAAGAGTTACCATATAGCCTTGGAAAAATAATAGGTCATGGGAAAAGTTATGATGTATCTTTCCATGCAGAATGTGTCATGACTTTTCCGATGGCCCAATAGTTTTCACAGACTTTATAAAAACCACATAAGTACACTTACAACAAGAAGAAACATGCAAATTTAGTAAATGATTATGCATGCTCTAATGAAATCCTAATAGCAAATTTCTCAGAATTTTTTTTTAACCTTTTCTTCCAGTGCTGTTCCCTAAATGATATTTGTGTCTTCTTCAGGCTGTTTTAATGATGGATTCAGAAAAAAGGATAAGATTGCTTCAGTTTGTCACTGGCACATCTCGCGTGCCCATGAATGGATTTGCTGAACTATATGGTAAGAATTTTCCATAGTTCTTTTTGTTCTTTTTTGGAGAGGTTTTTGCTATAGGGCACGTGCACTCGCCAGAAAGACAGAGAGAAGCAGAGAGACAGAAAGCAAGAAATCACCTCCCAGGGGGGATGGCCACACTGCAATCCCTTCTCCTCAATTCTCCTCTCGGGATCTTGGGCACATATGTATATGTGTCCGGCATGAGGTTAAGCCGCCGGGTCCAGGACTCAAACTGCAGTTGGCTACATGGGAGTCCAACGACATAATCATTACACTAACTGCCAGTACCTCCATAGTTCATTTAAAACTGGAGTGAGGCCAGTAGTCTTTTTAGTTATTTATTTACCTAATTCACTAGAGGGCATGTTTGCTTGCTGAGGGAGAGGCAAGGGAGAAAGCTCCCGTCAGTGGTGGGTGGTCATTCTGCAGCCTTTTCTCCCCCACTTCTCCATCCTGTCAGGATTTCGGTCATACATGTACACATGCCTGGCACGTCTTCAAGCCGCTGGGATTGAGATTTGAACTGTATGGAAGGCCATGTGTGATCTGGCTTCATAACTACCAGGCCACTGGGCCGGCCCGCCAGTCGGCTGCTTAGTCTTCAAGCTTTCTATCATTTACACTGATAGTACCTTAATAAAAGAAATAATGAAGGACCAGGAGTTGGTGTACTGGTTACGTCGCTGGACTCCCACTTAGTCGACTGCCCTTCAAGTCCCAGATCCAGTGGCTTAAAACTCATGCGGGGCCTGCCCCAAAATCCTGAGAGGAGAATGGAGGAGAAAGGAATTTTTTTTTCTTTTTTTGAGGGGGAGGATTTTTTAAAAAAGTTTTTGCCATGGGGCACATGGACTCACCAGACAGAGATATAAAAAAAAGGGAAAATGAAAAATCACCCCCTGGGAGGATGGCCAGGCCACAATCCCTTCTCCTTTCTCCTCTTGGGATTTTGGGCACACATGTCTATGCACCCAGCGTGAGTTTCAAATCACCCAGGCATGGGCTGTGGGGGACTGATAGAGGCCATGTGGGAATCCAGCCACTTTAACCAACTTCTGAGAATTTGAGGGTGGAGATCCCTTAGGCCACTGTTCCTCAGCTGTTATAGGAAAAGGCAAATTTGATAAGGCTGCACGTATCTCTTGATGTTCAGAATAGTTAATGCAGTCTCTTCGAAGTGAAATTCTGGATGGCCTATCATATTACTTTCTGATGATTTACACTGGAGATGTGTCTTGCAAAAAAAGTGCTGCTCCGATGTCTACCACAGCACTGTTCTCACGTTGCTCGTGCTTAGATCCTGTTATTGGAATGACATTTACTTGCTTTTTGTAGAGACCAGCCACAAACCTTTTCGAAAAGGTGTACCTGAAGTTGGCACCCTACTCAGAACAGCAGATAAGATGAGAATTTGTCTGGGAGTTAGAAGTTAGGGACTGCCGCCTAACTGCTAAGCTGAATTTTCCACGCATAGAAATTTTTGCTATCTGAGGGGGTTGCTGCACCTTTCTATCTTCTTGACCGACCTGACCTGGTCTTCTTGTTAAGCTTCATTTGCATGTGTTTGCAGAACCTGCAAGCCACTGCCTTTTCTCTACCTAGAGTCTCCTCTCAGAGTGGTTAGTTTTGCCATTAACCAATCTGTTCACTCCTTGCTAATTGGATTTGTTTGTTTGTTTGTTTGTTTGCATTCACTTTGAAATTATCTTAGTTAACTTTATTTATTTATTTGTTTATTTATTTATTTTAAATTTGACCAGAGAGGGACAGTGTGAGAGAGAAAAAGTGAGAAAATAAGCCACCAGGTCCGGGACTCAAACCGTGGTCAGCCATGTGGAATCCAGCTCCCTTTACCATCACGCTACCAAGCCACAGGACCCAAGACTCAAACCACTCAGTCAGCCATATGAGATCCAGCCACCTTAACCTCCACACCACCTGCCAGCCTTGTTAGTTGGATTTCTTAGCCTTTGTCTTTTTTAGTGCTTTGCCTGACTCCCCTTCCTTTCTCTTCCCTACTTTAGCCAGTTAGTAGAGAAAATTAAGGCAAGACAGACAAACATCCTCTTTCTACCTCTAGTTCCACTTCCCTCTTTTAGGCTACCGCCATTCGGTGATTCCATGAATTGTTTCAAATTTGGAGAAATTCTCTTACACACAGAGCCAGAGTTGTTTGTGTTAGAATATAAATTAAAATTCTTATGCATGCCTAGAAAGAAGCACATATATTATAATATAATATTATATAGCCAATAAAATGTATGTTACGTTTCTATCAGTTGACTTAGAGGAAGTTTTCTCAACGGGTGGCTTAGGTGAAGGAGTCAAGAGGTAGAGAAACATATGATTCTGTGTGTTCTGGGGGGTTTTTTTTGGTTTTGGGGGAGGGTTTTTTTTACAGTTTTATGGCTGTATTTGAAAATCAGCAGTTAGTTCTCATTCACATTGACTCTCTGTAGATTTGTTTTTTGAAAAAGGTAACAGGTACATAGGTCGCCAGAGTGTAGAGCTCGTTGGGTGAATCTTCATCCTCTGCGTTTTCTGGACAACTGCGTACAGATACAACACAGGACATTCCATATTCCTTCGGCCCAGACAGCTGTGTTGAGCCTGATATCAGTGTGCACATCTGTAGTCGCCAACTCCTTCGTGACAAATTTCTGGATCTCTCTGAGTGCCTGGGAGCACATGTCTTGAAGCCCATGCCGTGGATACGCTTGCGAATGTTGGTGCATTCCAGTCACCGCCTCGTTGATGGCAGAACGGCCCTTCTTATTCTTGCCACCTTTTTTTTGTGGGAGTCACTTTGTCCAGGCTAAGCTGAAAAGCCTGCGTGTTCTAGTCCTTTCTGTTGCTAATAATAGGAGATACTTGCCCAGGGTAATTTATAGAAATAGAGGTTTATTTAGCTTATGACTCGAGGTTCAAAGTCCAGGGGCAGCATCTGGCAAGGGTTTTTGGCTGATGACAGCATGGTGGCGGGCTGGAGCATGTGCACCTGTCCATGCGTCTCTGTTCTGGTCTCGTTCCTCTCCTTGTAAAACCCACCAGGAGTCCATCATGATGGGAGTCTGTCCTAAGGTCCTTAGCCCCATTCTCCTTCTGAAGGCTCCACTTTCAACACCATAGCTGGATTAAGTTTTCACCCTCTTAATCCTGTCATAGCCAAATCTCAACACGTGGCATGGGGAACATTCAAGTCATAGCACTGTGTTAGGGAAAACAGTGACAAAAGTACTGAAATTTTAACTGAACGTAATTGATGGGTGATGTATGAAATGTTAAGCTTTTGAGAAAGCTTTCAGATTGAGGATATTAAATATTTTAGTGCTACTTCTGGCAGTTATATACACACACATATGGACATGATTTTAAGAAGTCATGAAGGAAAGTATGAAAAGTTACAGACCATCTTGTCAACATTGATTACCTCGTGGTTAGGGGATGTCGAGGGTTAGAGAAGGAAGAGCCAAGTGAAAACTGTGAGGGGGAAAAAGAGAGAAAGTTTCTAAAAATGTCGATAATAAGAATGTAGACTGTATAATGATCACACACACATAACATTTCCTCTCTATATATGGTCATGCACAGACAGATTCATGACAGATGTTTACCCAGAGTTAATGGTGGATTCGAGGTGACTTTTACATTCATCATATTTTTCTCTATGGTTTTAATTTTTTTATAGTGAGTTTTTTTTTCATTGCCAGAGGACATGTGTGCTCACCAGGCAGAGAGAACAAGAGAAAGCACCCCCCCTCCCCAGTCCTTTTTCCTCCATTTCTCCTGCCCTTCAGGATTCGGGGCATGCATACTCATGTACGCAATGTGTCTTTCAAGCTGCTGGAGCCGGATTTGAAATGTGGTCGGCCATGTGGGATCTGGCTACCAATGCACAGCTATGGAGCTGGCCAGAGAGTATTTATACCATCAGAAAAAATTGAAGCTATTTTCAGTAGGGAGAAAGTGCTCGTTTTCTCCGTGTACCTATGTAGGCAATTGTGTATGAAAATGTCGTTGTGTGCTGGGCTAGGGAACTGCGAAAGCAGTGTCAGGTGGGCTGTGGGCAGAGTCTACAGTGGTCATGAATGCCCTGGTGATGGCTGGACAGTGGACAAATACATCGAGACAGGACTGCCTTATTTTTTTTTTTTTGAGCCTAAAGGAACCAGATTAGTTCTTTGTATGTGTAAATTCTAAATTAGAAAAAAATGATGGGCTTGGGTGCCTGTCAGTAGCTGGTTAAGGCAGCTAGATCCCACATGGCTGACTGCACGGTTCAAATCCAAGACACAGCCGCTTGGGGAACACGCCAGGTGCTTGTGCTCATATGCCCAAACTCCCTGGAGGAGAATGGAGAAGGGACTGCTGTGTGGCCATCCCCTAGCAGGTGATTGCTCACTTCCCCTCTGTCTTTGTCTCTGTCTCCAGTGAGTGCATGTACCCTATAGCAAAACTCAAAACACAAAATTTTTATTCTTTTTTATTTTAGAGAGGTTTTTGTTATAGGGCGCGTGCGCTTGCCAGACAGACAGAGAGACAGAGATATAGACAGCAAGAAATCATCCTCCAGGGGGGATGGCCACACCGCAATCCCTTCTCCTCCATTCTCCTCTCAGGAACTTGGACATGCACGTGCACGTACCTGGCATGAGTTTTAAGCCACTGGGTCTGGGACGTGAACCGCAGTCAACTACATGGGAGTCCAGCAACGTAGCCATTATGGTAACTGCTGGTTCCACAAAACACAAAATTTTTTAAAAAGGAGAAAAGAAAAAAAAGGAAAAATTGGGTTTTGAAATGTTCATATAGAGTAAATGAAACTAAAGAAATTCTTTTTTTTTATAGGCTCCAACGGACCCCAGTCATTTACAGTTGAACAGTGGGGTACCCCTGAAAAGCTGCCAAGAGCTCACACCTGGTAAGCAGTTGCTAAGACTTCCTAGCCAATCCTCAGAGAATAGATTCTCTCTCCCTGTTAGTGTAGGTCCCGGAGGTGCAGCCCCCTCTCTGCAGAGTCTGTGACAGGTACGAATGATGAGGAGTCAGTAACGCTACCCCAGGAATGGGTCTTTCACTCCCAGGTCGGCCTGGGCTCACAGTCCAGGTAGCCCAAGATCAGAAAGACTCACCTGAACTGTGGCCCAAATGTTGCCTCCATCTCATGAGTGATGGGCCATCCCCAAAGACACTAGAACATTCCCTTCTGGAGTTAAAGATGGCAGAGGAGCCCAGACATTTGGAGATTAGGGTTCAGGTAGGGGGACTTGGCCAAAGGTCATAGGGAGAGCCCCTGCCTTGAATTCAGCCCTGTGTCTTCTACCTCTGCTGAGAGCACGCCCCTTAATGTGACTGGCCCATAGTTGCCACCAGAAGCAACACTGCCATGTTACCCACGGTGGTACTCACTTGGGCACTGTCTTTTCTAACCAGTTCTTCTCTGTTCTTGCAGCTTTAATCGCTTGGACTTGCCACCCTATGAATCATTTGAAGAATTATGGGATAAACTTCAGATGGCAATTGAAAACACTCAGGGCTTTGATGGCGTTGATTAAATCCCAAGTCCCAGCCTTCGTTGTCTTACTGCCACCATCTAACAAGCAAAATCTTGACTTCAGATTGTCCAGGGAACTACTAAAACCTGGCCACTGACTCCTCCCAGATATTGGATACAATCCTCTAAAAGTACTAGAAGAGACGTAGGATGGCAACCTACCATTCTTTCGGTCACTTTTAAATGGCATGTGCCTTGACACAGTTCATTCTGTCTTTAGAGTTCACACCGTAGGATGCAGGACTGTGCCTGAAATAGCGAGCTCTGTCCTTCACACTTACCTCTTTTATCGTATTCGCCAGGCAGATCTTTCTTAAACTACTGAAATTATAACTGTGAAATATTTGTGATAAGTGTCATGTGTGAAAAGTTTGATGCTTTTTGAGAAGGAAAACTGAAATTTGGGGGGGGGAAATACCGTAATGTTGAGTTAACTGCGATCTTTAGTGATATTTGCAGCTATTTATTATTTTGTAGACTTGCCTAATGCACCTTACGGCCCACAGTTAAAAAGAAAAAAAAAAAAAAAAGCCTTGGAAGATGTGTTACCTATAGAAGGGATCTTCAAAAAGTTCACAGAAAATGTAGATTAAGAAAAATAACCACGCATAGGGGTTTTTTGGCACCAAAATGAGCACATACTTTATTTTTGTTTTTTGAACTTTTTGAAGTTCCCCCACCAATTTTTTTTTTTTTTCTCTAGGATGCATGTATTCACCAGAGACAGACAGAGAGGGAAAGTGAAAAATCACCCTCCAGGGGTTATGGCCACACAGTTCCTTCCCCTTCATGCTTTTCTCAGGATAATGGGCATGCATGCACATGTACCCAGTGTGATTTTCAAGCCACTGGGTCTGGGACTCAAACCAAAGTTAGTTATGTGGGATCCAGCTGCCTTAACCTCCACACCACCTGCTGGCCCCCCTCATACTTTTAGTCAACTGAATCACTTGCAAAAAAGTGTCGACTTCTCTTTGAAAGTGTTTGGCTTTTGCTAAAAGCAGTTTTACTAAACAAGGTGGTTCATAAGACTTGTGAAGCAAATTCCTATTTGCAGTGGGTGGACAGTATTAAAGGCTTTCTCTTCCCTATATACCCTTATGTGAATTGGTATAGTCACCATTTTTTCATACTTTCATGTAGTTAGAAGAATTCCTTCAAATGTTCAACTAAAGTTCCACAGGGCAGTATTTCTAAATATGCCCTGAAGAACTAAGTGAGATGTATTTGCCTTTACTAGTCATTCTTTATACTTGCACAATTATGTAGTAAATATATGTTTACATGGTTTATTATGTTTACAGAGTAAGCTAATTTCTGCAGTTGCATTTTTTACATTTTTAGTATCTCTTGTGAGAAAACACAAAAGCCAAATAGTTTGTTTCAAATAACCAAAGAATAATTATAATGCATTATTTGTATTAAATTTGTTATCACATTTCTTATGCTTTTTAAAAATATTTTTGTTTAGTATGAATATGATGATGTTTTATTAAAACCCAAAACTCTTTAGGCAGACTCTTCCTTTAACCCAATCGAAGTACATAAAGGGCAAACATTTACTGAAGGCCTGCTCTGTGCCAGGGCCTAGAGTAAGAGCTGTCAGCTCAGAGAAAGACAGCTCAGTGCTCGTCTTCAAGGAACTTACAAATGCGTGAGTGACTTTATTAGCAACCAAAACTAGGGACGAGCAGTCTAAGACGAAAGGGAACATGCGCCAGGGTCCCGCGTGCCTGCAAAGATAAAGCACACCCAGACTGCATTTATCTAGTTCATACTCCATCGGGATGAGTAGATAGAAAATGCTCTTACACAAAACTAAAACGATTTCTCATGTTTTCTTGGTGATTTAGGGATAATTGTAAATATATGTTACGAGTTTTTTTAAATATATATGTGTACTCTCTGACCATTGTACAAAGTACTTCTAGCTGTTGGCTTAAGTCTGTTGGGCTTTTACCTGATGCGCATCAGCACCTAGTAGGGCTCTCAGGTGTGACCGTAGTAAAACCACTTTCCACATGCCACATCATCAGCTCGGGTGGTGAAAGTAACCCACAGATCCTGCATCTCCTCTTCACCTATGTCCGTCAGCATTCAACCGTAATCCCCAGGTGTAGTCCTGGTTTTGTCACTTACCAACTGTGTGACAAACTTACTTAACCTACTTAACCTCTCTGGGCTCCTCTCATCTGCCAAATTAAGATAATCACACCTGCCCTTACTACATGTAAGATTGTAGTAAGTTCCAGAGAGAGGAGAATTCCTAACATGTCTTGTCAAAGTACAAGCCGATCAGGGGTGCACAGGGTGCTCCCAGAGAAGAATCCCTTTGTTTAAAATGACTTCTCACAGACAAGGAGGTAGGCACGTATCTGATGGAGTATGTACCAATGTATGTGTACGTATGTGTATCTACATATGGACCTTAGTGTCAGAATCCGTTTTCATCGCATCTGAAAAGTAATATGAACGGGCCAATGCATTTTGGAAATGTCTTCAAATGTCTTCACTGAATGTGAAAACTATTTTTGTGAAAACAGGGTCTAAGCACGTGATTGTGCTTCTGTGAAATATCATAGCAGATGTCAAATCTTGAGAAAATACAACATTTTATTTTTATCTGAGATTCATTTGGATGATCCTATGACTCAGAGACAACATGATGTTGATGAGCCCAGACTCACTCCCGCCAGCCCCCAGCTGCTGACCCGCATCCCCCTCATCTTCCAGGTGTGGGCTGATGGTCTGGATGTCGTATTGAGTGACACAACCCCTCATCCCAGACACGGAAGTATCCAAAATGCATTTTCCTGCTG